ATGTAGCATCGAGAACCAGCCCCATCATCCTGTTGCTGTTTGCTTGTGTGCTGCGAGCTATAAAATAGAGAAAACAAATTTCTTTGTTGCCGGCACGAGTGTTGGCATTCGTTAAAATGGTTTCATTTCTGTTGATATTCTAAGAGCGTGAAAGGGTTTCAGGCGACACGGGCTTTGACTAAAAGCTTTGAAATACAGCAAATGTTTCTTTAGTCCCCAGGCATTAAATATCAAATGAAAGGACAGCTTTAAAGTAAAAATATGAAAGCGTATTAAATGATCGTATATGCATATTGTCAAGTATAATCATGATTTATTTACCTGTTTGAACCTAGCTTAACTAACTGAAAGTGTAGCTGCTATGTGTGAAGCATGTTGCAATTAAAAAGTATTTTGTAAATTATTTCTACTTACAATACATCTATACATTCGCATGCACACATACTACATATATTATATAGTACTCTTAATACAAACTTAAATAACTGCAGTTGCTAGCTGAACTTCTAGCTATACCACAAATCGGATTTTTCTTCCACTTTTTCTTTTCAATCCGCCCAGGCAAAAAAAAAAAAAAGATTTAGTATAAGCACAAAGTTAGCCAGAAATATGCACTTGTTATTTTATTTATTTTGTGTATACAACTCTAGTTTATATAAGCGGATATTCCCGCTTTTGTTGATGTATCAATCACTCCATATTTTAAGCGCATTAAATATGTATGTATATATAGGAATAAATGTCAACCTGAAAACTGAACTAAATGCGTAATAGCTTATTTGCTGGTCAGAAAATGTATTTTCATGTATTCTGTTTTTCCTCTTGCTTGCTTTTCACTTAACTCACTCGCTCTCTGTCGATTTCCTTTCAGCGGACGGCAACAAGTGCTGCGAGTCGCCTGCATTGGGCGGGCAATCTTAGCGCGCAGCTGGCGGCTGTGAGTTTTCGTCCAGTTGTTGGCTTTTCCCGTTTGCCATGGTAAGCCGCAATGCGAAAATTGTGAAAACGGAAAATGGCACGAACGCATCTATTATTGTAACAGACGGCAGCAATGCAGCGCAGCCTTTGAAGACAACGACAGCAACGACGGCGCTGACGACGATGGCAACAACATTGTCGGCATCGCAGGCCGACATGGGCGACCAGGAGAACGGGACGACGGGTAAGTGCGAAGTGCTCTTGTTTCACGCGCTCACGCCCGTAGCTAATCCATGACGACGCGCCAAGGCGAGAAGGCCAGCTTCACTGCTCACTGATGGAGATAGTGAGGCGAATGCAGAAGCTGCTGCAAATCAAATTAGTTTCGTAAAGGATGTCTTTTCAATCTTGCCGCACTTCGCCTGCTAAGCGCTTTGCCAAGTTCTCTAATGCCAACAAGATTCTTTAGGAAATCTGGCAGCCGAGTGCGGCACAAAGTGGCTCAACTATGGCATACCCTGCATAAATTCTGTTGAATCTATCCAATGTCATATTATATAAATCAAATTTAAATATATTAGCTAGCTAATTGTGTTTAGTACCGTAATGTTAATCTATTCAAGTTTATTTAAAAAATCCGCCATCAAACGTATCCCTCGCTCTTTGAACCCTATTAGTTGGCCTTTGCGCTTGGTTTAGTACTAAATTGAGTTATGGCGTTGGCCGTGGCTTACCGTCCCGACCGCAGCACCCACTTGCCATTTTCCTTTTCCCACTTGCCACTGCCCTAGGCTGATGTAACCCCGATGTTAGTTAATTTGGGCTTGTCACGATAGCATCAACCCACGCCCAGCTTGGGGCGGATATTTCTTTGACTTTGTCGCAGTTCCTATATTAATTAAATGGCTTTCAGTGTGGCCGCGTCAAAATAATTATTATTCCCCTCAGCCCAGCACAGCCTTCGCTGTTTAGCTAAGAGCCAAGTAGATACCGAAACATAATTATGGCCAAGTTTCACTTGTTCACTTTGATTTTGTATGTCACATTTCAAGTCCTGCTAGCAAGTCAGTTTGCAATATTTTTAATTTAGTTGGAGTTTTTAGTTAGTTGTTTTACAATCTTTTTTTTATTGACTGTGATGAAATTTGAATAAAATTAAATGTGTATATAATATATATGAACTTTGCTAGGGTCTGATGACATCAGCGATAGAAATTAATTCTTAAGAGTAGGAGAACATTTTTGTAATATTTCATCTTAAACAAATTTCTAAGAAATGAAAAATCAATTCATACCTCAGCGTATAAATCACCGTTTGCAAGCTCTGCGAATGTCAATAAAAAAAAATATAATGTACATTAAAAAAAAATTATATAAAAATAAAATTAAAATTCTTCAAGTACTTAACATTGCGAGGTGTTATTTAATTATGTATTAACGTGGTCAATATCGTAAAAAACGGATTTCACAATTTTGGAATACCAATGAAAATTGACTGCAAGCATATTTGATAAAAAGGCTTTGGGTTGTCTAGTATGGGACACTTAATAAATATGTTCAATGTGGGTATTTTGAATATTAAATGTTGACCTTTCCTTTATAGATATTTAGTTTAAAACAAAAATTATTCTGCTAGAAATAAAAGATGAGCATAAGGCGGGAAAATTTAAATTAAGGAAATAATGTTATTGAGAAAATACAACTTAAACGAAACGAAATATTTTTATAACGAAAAAATGGGTGAGAAAATTTGCTAGAAAAATTATATTATAAATTAAACAATTTCTCCTATTATATATTTTATAAAGAAAACAAAAAAATAAAAAATAAGAAATAGAACAGACTATTAATTAAAATAAAATTAATAATATCTCTTGTCTTAATCTCAACCATTTTTTTGCCTCACTCTCTTCGTGCCTAAATTGTTGACTCAATTTTCATTTTAATTCCATTAGCATGATGAAGGGAATTTCAAGATGTGCCAAATGGGCGACATATGAAAATACACACACACACACATATATATACACATGAGCATGTGATGCTAATGAGGCTATTATATAAATTGCTTAAATTGCTTATAAAGCAAAATATGATGCCAAAAGAAGATGTTGCGCATACGCCGCGTATACGCTGTCGAATCATGGGGATAGTAGCAGTAAAACAAAGACATGTGTGTATGTGTGTGACTGAGTGAGGCATTTAAATGAAGCACATAATTTTGGGAAAAGAGAAACAATAAATTTGGCGACATAATGAAAGAAATGTTGGAAGGATTTGCTGTAAATGTGAACCCTGTGCAAGATTGATTGTAGAGAGTTTGAAGTTCTTTCGTTGCTTGTCAAACGGCTTTAACCATCTCATTCATCTAATAATATTTGTGATATCCAACAGCTAAATTTGGTCCTAATGTTGTATTTATACTAAAAATACTAAAAATGAAAAACCTGTTGACAGCCTGCGCCAAAATATTGACTGAAGCGTAAGGATTGGGTAAACGATTTATGAATGAACAAGCGGTCGAGCGTCTGGGTTGCGGCGGGGGCCTTGTTTATTGATTGGAATTCTGTGTGCTTTAAATAGGCGTCAAAGTGAAAACCAAAATTATCTGCTCCTTTTATTTCTGTCAAAGTCGCTGATGCTTGTGACACCTTGTCGAGTGTTTCATTAAAACCGACGAAACTTCGGGAAGGCAACAAGTTTCAACAAATTAATTTAAAGCAACGATGAGTGAACGGGACTGATACCCGAAAGTTAATTGAGCTCTTTGTGAGTGCCAATCAATAAGTTACAAATTTAAAAGAAGCTATTTCAATTTAAAGAGACAAGGATATTATATTATTATTCAATTATTATTATTATTTTTAAGAATAAAAAATTAAATAGCTGTTTAGTTCCGTATTTCTAATAGTTTATTAATCAATAATTTTTTATTCATTTATTAATTTTAAATTATTTTTTGGCGTTTCTTGAAGGAATAAAACTTACAGAATACTGAAAATTTACTTAAAAGGGGATCGAGCCTAAAATGGATCTTGATCGCTTCCAATTTCAACTAATGCAATGAATGATTTGAATGAATTGTAGGTTCGTTTATAGCTGTACTTGATTATGGTAGGATATTATAATGTAAATAAATTAAGTAGTCGTTGCTGAAAATATATTTTATGACATTTGTCAATTATATTTCATATTGAAATTGAATACAACTTACCGAATCTTACTAGGAACAAAATCCAAAACAAATGAACGTACGATCCAGTTTCTTTCACAATAACGTACCCATTCCGAGAGTTATGAGAAATCACTTCTGCAACCAGATGAATTCCGAAATATTGCAAATCACCTTTCATTTAAATATGAAGAGACTATGTAAAAGAGTTCTGATGTTATTATATGGCTTTAACATTACCTCTACTTCCATGCTCGTGAGGATCTGAAAATGGAGAAACTTCAATTGGAAAGTGCTAAATACAATTTACAATCTAAGGTTATACATACGTGCATATAAAGCAGCCATATAATACTTCCGTTTATAAAGCAATAAATGTCATGCCTGCAGCAAAAGCAAACCGCAAAAGCATTGGACCTTAAATATCTTTTACTTCTGATTACAAATCACAGTTTAATTTAATAAATTGAATAAGCCAATCTGCTGACATTTGAAAGTACACGCTTGGGTAGTAGGACCACGTCTTTATTCAATTATGGGACAATACAAAAAAATAAAACATAGAAATATTTAAGCGGTTGCAATACTTTTTTAAAGGTCTTATTAAAAGTAAATCTTACAAAGTTCAGACATGTTTCAAATAAATAAATTATTCTTAGATCACGTTAAAGGATTATTTATTTTACTATCACCAAGGCAAGCTCGGTTAAATTTTCTTTTGATTAAATTTTGGTAGATACAATTCTGGAACCATCTTTGTAAATTTCTCTTCCTTTTTCTTTACACTTCTTGCCTTCTCTGCTTACAGTAAGATATTACGATATAAATAAAATAGATTGTTAGCCCTGAAATAATATATGAAAGCATTTACCATTATACTTGAAACGAGAAAGCGACTTACCTATTCGAACAACGCAAAGCGGCCAATACAGATGAATGAATAGCCCAGCAGAGTTAACAATAATATTTGTGCGAATTAACACTGTTACAATGGTTATAATGATAAAATAGATAATATAGACCCCATTAATGCACACAAATGTTATGATAAAAGGCGTCCTGGGCTGCAAATAGATTGCAAGTTGAGTTTAACAACTTGTTCCTTGACTTCTTACTCCCAACTTACACACACTTCGTAAAGGATCAACAAGATCGCGGAGAGCACAACTAAAATTTCGGGCACCAAATGAAGTAACATAGAAGTATGATCATCTTTCGTTGAGTAAAGGGAGTAGAGAGTTTAGGTTTCAAGATATTCTCAATTATTATTACCTGCACTTCCTTTTGTATAGCCCGGATCTGAAAGTAGTAGAAATTTGTATGAAAAACAAAAACAGATAGATAGAGCAAATGGATGCAACTGTCAAATTACACTTCATGTTATAATAAACTAAAATGAATTTGGAGATTACGACGCTAAAGAGTACTGTGAACACCACAATAACAAAACATCCCATCCGTAATGATAAGCAACAACAAAACCGCTTGGCATCAAACATCCTTTAGGGAAAAGTGTGATTTATTTTCCGAATTAAATTTGAAAGTAGATGCTTAGGTAGTTATGCGCCATATTTAAAACTAGAATGATATATTGAAAAAGAAGAAAATGTGGTTAACTCACAGATCCTGACTGCAAGTCCTTTAAATGCCGATTTTATGTAGGGTTCTGTAAGAGTTAAAGACCTTGAAGTGACTGTCGAAAACTGCGAGTCGAGTTCTTTGGGAGAGCTTGCCCGGCACTTCCCCCACCTTAACGTTTTGGTGCGCCAACTTCATCAAAGTTCCAGCAACCTCTTGTACCTTGTATTCAGAACTTCTGTACATTTTGCTGGCTTCACTGTTTCTCTTCTTATTGCTGGAATTAGAGGCATCTGGTCTGGGGGCGCATTTAATTGGGATCTGGCAAATGAAAGCCAGCCAGTTGTACAAAAAGCAAAGATTTATTTGATTCGCTTGGAATTTGGAATTATTAAAAATGGACACATCTAGCTAAGACTATAATATTAAATAACAATTTTTATAGATGTTTGACTTCTCTGACATTTTATATATCATCTCCATATCCATCGTTTTGCTTATAGAAGGAGATGACGACATATAAAAAATATACTGTAGTTCCTGGAAAAACTCTGGAATCACTTATAAATTATATTTGGAATGAGAAAATTTCACTTACCGAATCGAAACAGACAAAAGGGCCAAAAGATGTGAACGTAATCGCCGGCCCTGTTTATAATTATATTTATACCGATTGCTGTGGTTATAATGAACATCAATATGAAGTAGACGATGTGGGGACCAACGAGGCCGACGTAAATGAAGACTAAAAACTTCTTGCGCTTAAATAGTACAAATTAAATCTCGGAATTGCAGTATCGCAGTTAGTTCATTGCCTTGATACTTACAAACAACCCATAAAGGACTAAGGAGCAGGACGCCAAAAATAGGATTACTTCAGGTACCACCAAGCATATGAATGAATCGTAATCGCCTGTTTTTGGAAAACAATGTATATTTAACAAGTTTGAAATAGCCGTTAGTAAAATGATTTTCACCTTTAGTTCCTTTTTTGTCGCCACTATCTGAAAGAAAAGTAAGAGGTCGTATTAAAGCGATCAACGATTGTAATATTATAGTAGAGCATTACATTGGTCGGTGTGAAATATCAAAACAAATTGAATACTCAAGACACTATAGACGAACGTAACAAATGCAATCAAATAGCATCCTATGAGTAATGACCAGCAACCGCAGCAACGAGTGGCATTGAACATCCTGTGCTATTGTAATGCCGGCTTGTCATTTCTGGACTAAACATTTCAATTTGAAAGTAAATGCTTGGGGCCAGAATAAAATTGAAAGTAGCTAGATAACATATAAACATATTATATTATTTTCTGCGTATATCGAGCACATTCCATCAGAGTGTCAACGTGTCTATAACTAATTATTTTGCCATCCGTCCTGTGGAGCGTAATTCAATTGTAGACTTGATTTTCATTTTAATTCCATTAGCATAATGATGGGAACTCAAAGATGAAAATGAGAAACAAAGACAGCCACGCACACACACACGCACACCTAATGCTAATGAGGCTATTATATAAATAGCTTAAATTGCAAATAATGCAAAAGTCAAACTCGATGAAGATGTTGCGCATACGCCCCGCATACGCGTACAATTTGTGAAGCCATTAGCATCAATTTCTTTAAATTGTGTATCAGCAGTTGAGCGCTGCGTTTATGAGAGTATCGGGTGTAGAAAGTATGCAAAGGATATGGGAGAAGTAGAGAAACCTATAGAGAAAATATATATGAATGATATTGATAAACAAATGATATACTTTGGTATAAAATTTAGTGGAAAATGGAGAGGAATTGTTGATGAAACTTCACAGTCGTGATCTATCTATAATATAATAGAGAGATATACTTATGCGAGTCTAAGTATTACATATACCGAAATGATAAATGATATATATGAAATCCATAAATAATTTTACTCTATTTGCGTTCGCATACGGATTGATGCACATCACAGTTTAAACTATGGTATATAACGTGATGTACATGAACGAGCCCTAAAAGTAAAATTGCAAATCAAGTATTAAAACCAGATTTAAAGTTTGCTGATTTTTGATTAATACTCACGCAAACTTCGAACATGGGAATGGAAATAAGAAGTTCTGCTACTAATAGAAAGATTTTGCGCCGCTAAAAATATAAAAATGAAAAATAGTAAAAAAAAAAAATATATAAATAAATGTCCAATTGTAGATTTTATATCATTATATCATGATATAGAGTGATCCACAGAGCACAAAGAACAAAGTGCATAGGCTATTTAATTTTAGTTGACTCTAGTTTCGTCAATATCTTTAAATAAAATAAAATAAAATAAAATAAAATAAAATAAAATACGTATTTTCAGACAGAAGCAACACAATCTAGAATGTCACATTCTAGAGCCTAGATAGCTTAAGAAAACAAAATGAATTAAATAAATACAAATCGAATATTAACAGAAGATATTTCGCTTATGTCTCGCATATGCAACGCAAACAGAGAACAAAAGATCTGTAAATATTTATAAACTTAATTTCCGGCTTTGAAGCCAACTGCAGCTGTAAGCTAATGGACTCTTGACAGTGTATTGGCCATATATCCTTCAGTCGTCAACGAACGGGGTTGCAGCAGCAGCAGCAGCAGCAGCAGCGATGTTTGCTTATCTATGATTATTGGATGGTATTGCTTCTATAGCGCGCGCTCTATACACAACTCACACCTAACGTATTTATGGCATCTTAATTGAATTTCAATTTTCAATTTCGCCTTTTAATTGAATTCAATGAAAAAGTGTCGATGAAACGGTATTCAGCGCTTTGTGTGCAGTTCCCCACCCACATTGTCGCCAGCCCCGCCCCCTTCGTTTACACACAGCTTGGTTGATGCCTCTCTGCTGTTGTTGCTGTTATTGCTGTTGCTGTTTATTCAGCTGTTGCTGTTGCTGTTGCTTCTGGGAGCGTCATCAGGGAGCCTCGTCTGCCAGCTCGCAGTTGCTGGCGCCAACAACGCGACAAAACACAGCCCCGATCCCCGCACCATTTCAAATCACCCTTCTGCCCCATCAACACAACACGACAGCCCACTTCCCAGCCTCGTTTACAGCACCAGTACCAGACCCAGCCCTAGCCCAAGCCCATTTCAGCTGACGAATCCATTCGGCCTTCAATTGGCTTGGTTTGATTGCGCCAACACATATTTTTCCACAGGGTTTGCCTTGTGATTGACTAAAAACTTGTAAATTGATTGGGCAGTAAATGTGATAAACAAACCATTTGGCCAGTATAATGCGTCAGAAATTGAACTCTATGGAATAATTGTCAGGGCCATTAAACCTGGGGTATCACATGGTGAATTAATAACTGAAATGTATACCCAGAGGAGAGTACAGTATTATTTTTTACACAATATTTGAATAGCGCACAGCGAGCATTTAATTCGTGACTATATATAGATCTGTGATTTTGCATATACATATGTACGTGTGTATGTGTGTGTGTGTGTGTGACTGGCTCATTATGCCGTACCGTGCGCCAGTGGCAGTCTTTCTAGCCGTTGTTTGTGCCACCCTGGAACCCGCGTTTGCATTCATAATGCACGGCCGTGTACTTCTGGCTCGGCACATGTGAGATTTATGCCACTCAGCCAGCAGTGGAAATATCAGACAATACGAACGGATTTGTATGCCGGGGTTAACGCTGTATCATCACACACAACCGCACATCTATAAACATGAGCGGGTATTAGGCGCCATTGCCGCAAGATAAAACGAGAGCGCACAGAGCGAGAGACAAAATACGAGATATATATATGCAAATTGCTGTCACAGTGGAAATGCCTCAGCCATTGTTGGGATTTCCTCTTCTTCTATCTCTTCTCTTTTTATATTACTAATATATGCATATTACTTGCAATTTGATGATGCTATGATTCGCCCGCACTTAAATGCGAACAAGGCGTGCGCCTTTTGATCGTGTCTCTGCTCCGCCCTGCTCCGCCCTGCTCTGCCCTGCCCTGGACAGCTTACAAAAGTATTGTCATAAAATACATAAATCGCATTTGTATGGCAAATCGTTTGCTGGTTGGCTCAGTTGCTTGTGGCAAATTCAATTTGCATGACACTGATTTTGCTTCGTCTTGTTCGTCTTCTTCGTATGCGTCTATAAAATTTACATTTGCGACAAGTTGAGCATCGTTTGGCCCGTGGGCCAAGCTCAGTTTCTCTATTGATTTCAATGGAAAGTAAATAAACTGCATCACTTCGCTCTCTCTATCTCTCTCTCAGCTTTTTGATGGCCACTTTGCAGGTTGTGAGAGCTTTAAGCCCGAAAGTGTCTGCCTGAAGGCAGTGACTAATAAAAAGCAATACTAAGTAAGAGCCAAGTGCATTTAAATAAATGGACCTCGAACGTAATGGCATGAGTGCAAGTCGAGTGAGCAGCTCGTCTATAAATAATATATAGCTAAAAACCTCTCTAGTTTTAGCTTGAAGTTGATGAGATTTAAGACCACATTCGCCCTCTGTAATGCATAAATGTGTGAATAAAAAAGTGAATTTCTGCAGATCGAAAAAAAAAGTAACCGAAGGAGACCCATTTAAAAAGGAAATAATATTCTATGAAGGCATTTTTATGTGTTCACATCAATCTAATAAAAAAGACACAATAATAGAGCTGTAAAGCTTCAGCAAGGGCTTTGCGAAAAGCAATACGAAATTCAGTCACAAATGGCTGTTTGACTCACTCTGAATAGAAAGGTATCAAACATGAAATGACAAACCGAAATGGAATTGGGAAAAAGCGCTTGGCGTGCGCTTGGCTCCTGGCTCCTGGCTTTTGTCTTAGATGGCCATTATTTAGCTGCACACGTAGAGAGAAAGCCCATTGACTGGTCCTGGAAAGCATTGCAAAATAGTCGCACATTGTGCAAGAGAAACAAGCGAAATACGTGCGGTATGTGTCGGCATTTTAGCGCTGCCTGTGTTGCACAGTGGTACTGGCTAAGCAGAAAAACAAAAAATTATATATCAATAATTAGAATAATAATAGAAACATTGACTTTCTCAAATCTAAAATGCATAAACTCAAGAATTTTTTATTAATAAAATTGTAGGCCAAATTACTTTTTAAATACATTTTTAGCCACTGTGCTTCGCTGGCCAAATTGTCTGTTTGGCTTTGACACTGGCTGTGACAAAAGTGTTCAACTTCACCTTGATTAATGCGATGCCATGACATTTTCTTTTACAATTGCTCCCGCTCCCTTTCGGGGGGAAATTTGTTTTAGCCTGGCACGTTTGTGTCGCCAATTTGTGAGAGAAGTCCAGGAGAGACGCCAGCTAACAGCTTTCAGCCAGCACTCGCATTATTCATTCCATTTGGGCCAAGCTGTTGATTACTCCAGCACAGCTGCTGGCCAAAGCCGTTGATTTATTTTGTGGCCAACAGTCGAATCCACGGCGAGTGAGTCTGCCCTCAATTGAATCTGTGCAAGTTTTGGAATTGCGGTAAGATCAGGGCGTGACCCGCATAAAAACACAGAGCTAATTGAAAAGACAAGCCTGACATATTCGCTAAAGAGCCCGCCCGGTAGTGAAACCCATTTTGCAGTCGAATGAATTCCATTTGATTAAGTGTTGTAAATCGATTGGAGTCGGTAATCGAGCTGAATGTTTGTCATACAAATGGCTGGCGATTAGACTGTGCTGCTGCTATTGGCATACGGCATGCGGCACACGGTGCTGCGTAGAGCACCACGTAATTTACAATCTTGCAGCATGTGGCAGCAGGTGGTGTTCCGGTGCACAATGTGGCCGACTTCATGTGCACTTGCAGCCGTCCTTGAGAGTTTCGCTTGTATTTTGTTGCATTTTATGTTTGGCGCGCCACATGGCGTATGCGCAACGTTGGTGGGTAGAGGAAAAAGCGTTGCATACCTTGGGGTGCACGTCGAAACAAACTTGGATGAATTTAATATTATTGCAGTATACAGAACAGTTCAATTTACGATAAAACAGGCCACACCAACAGCTTGTGTGATAGTAAAATGCGTTACATCATTGGGAGCTATATGAATATTCGGAAAATTTGGCGTGTGGTGATCACGCGTTGGCATAAGGGGCACTTGCATGTGGTGCGTAATGCGGCCTTGATGCAACTGCTGCAGAATACATGGCCGCACACAGTGGAGGCGGGCTTCCGTTGGCGAACGCATTTCAGACACACCGGACACTTGTATGGATCCGCCTGCGGCACCATTGCCACATCCGAGTCCGCTCCTTTTGCGTCCAGCTGCTCCGGAA